TACCTTACGCTTTTCCACTAGATGTTGACTTTTCCCACATGTAGATTGGCTGGTGTTGTTACTTCTGGTCACTCTTTTAGGAATAGTTGTATATGCTGTATTTTTAAAATATATGTGATTTTGGGAGGAGATTTCCACCACACTTCTCATGCCACCATCTTCTCTCCTTGTTCCTTTTTTAGTGTTTTTTTTTAAAGCAAGATATAACTCACGTATCATAAAATCCACTTAAAGTCTATAATCAAATGTTTTTTTAAATATTCAGAGTTGTGCAAACACCACTTCAATTTTAGAATGCTGCCATCACCCCAAAATAAATACTGTATCTTTAGTTATCAACCCCCCCCCCTCAATTCTCTCCCTCCCATCCCTAGGCAACCACTAAACTACTTTCTGTCTATGGATTTGTCTATTCTGGATATTTCAGATAAACAGAATCATACAATATGTAGTCTTCTGTGATTGGCTTCTTTCACTCAGCATGTTTTCGAAGTTTATCCATGCAGTAGTATATGTAAGTACTTCACTCCTTTTTACTGCTGAAAAATGTTCCACTGTATGTATGTGTGTGTGTGTGTGTGTGTGTGTGCATGCATGTGTGTATATACACACACATTTTACTTATTCTTTCATTCAGTTGATGGACATTTGGGTTGTTTCCACTTTTAGACTATTATTAATAAAGCTGCTATGCACATTCATGTACAAGTTTGTGTGTGAATATATATTTTCAAGTCTCTTAAGTACATACCTACAAGTGGAATTACTAGGTCATACAGGAGTTCTACATTTATCTTCTTAAGGAACTTTCAAACAGCTCTCCAAAGCAGCTACCATGCCTTTTTAATTTGGTTTACCCTACCCCACCCAAACTAATTCAATTCAATAAGCATTCCCTGTGAGCCTGTGTGCCAAGTTGTAGTAAAAGTCCATTTGGTCTTCTGGTAACTGCCATGAACATGGCACAGAAGTCTCTGTGGCATTATGAAGGCAAGGGCTCCTGTACACTGCAGGGATGCAGGCTTCATCCATTCATCTACTCTTTGGCACTTTTGTTATTTCCTCCCAAGGGATGCTTGCTTTCTGTGTAGGCTACATGGGAAGTTAAAGAAGCTGGAAAAGCAGTTTTCTTTTCCTCCTCTTCTTAACCATTTCCCCTAATCCTGACACACAAGGTCTCTGCTTTGTCCTTGCAGTTGGGGGTTGGGGGTGAGAATGGGTAGGGCTGGTTAAGCTCTAAGGCAGCCCTCCCTACTCCAGTTAACTAAGCGAAAGTTCATTTTAACAAGAAGCTAATTAACGATTGAGAGATTTTTTAAATGAACTATAGTTCCCTTTTATAAAAGAAATCAGGTTGAGTTTTGGGCTGTATCAAATATCTTCACCTACATGTCAGTCTGGACTTCCTCTAAAAGAGTGAGTTTATCTGCTGAAAATGATAACACAGAAAATGAGATAAAATTTCAGTTTGGTTAGTGGTTCTTTCTTGACCCTAGGCCAAGTATAATTTTGACTGATTAAGTCTGCCTTTCTTCAGTGGTATTATCATGTATCATGATAAGAATACTATTTTACCCAAAGATTTTGAAAGAAATTTTAAAATCTCATTGTAGTTTTTGTATTTCTCTTGTGAAAGGCTTTTCTAGTGTGTCTAAGCCTCCTTTAGGTAGTAAACTATCAATTTCTTCTAACTCATGATTTTTCCAAACTCTCTTGTATACTGGACTCTCTATAGATGTTATTTTCTCTCCCATGACACAGCTTCTCCCTATGTGTAGTCACTCTGACTTACAAGACAGAGAAAATGTCCAAATACAACAGTCTTGGTCACCAAGTAGGTTATTTCTATGTTATTCTTATTCCCCTATACAGGTTTTCAGAGCAGCACTTAACTACAATGTATAATGAGAGAAGATATTGAGGCAGCAAGAATAAACTAGTATCTTCTAAAATCAGCAGAAAGCATTAAATTTCTGTTTTTACAAAATTATAATTAATAAATATTTTAAAATAGAATTTTAAAAAATCACTTTGATTTTTTAGTATGAAAACATACCTGCATATTCTTGATTAAAATGAAACAAAGTTTCTAATTGTAGTAATGGAAGAAGTGCTTTATTTAATAAAAAATTGAAATAAATAAGGTAGTACAATATCAACCTGGATAATACCAGTGTTGGTGAGAGTGCAGGAAAATGAGTACTCTCGCACACTGTTAAACCTTTCTGACAGCCATTTGTGTCAAAAGCCTTGGAGTCTGCATACTCTTTGAATCAATCCTGAGTTAAGCATTATTATTTCATTTTACAGATAAAGAAAGTGAAATTCATACAGACTAAGTAACCTCCAAGGTCATAAATTAATAGTGAGCTTCAATTCCAACTCACAGCTAACTAATCCAAGTTTACACTTAACTGTTATACAACAAACTTCATTCAATAATATGAGGCTTGTTTTTAGAGAGTATTTCTGTAACAGAATAATATATGGCAGCTAAACATGTTATTGTACTAGAATATATGATGACATGGATAAATGTTTACAGAATTATAAATAGCAAAAGCAAGCTTAAAACAGTAAGATCTAAATTTGTTAAAAATACATAAATACAAAAACAAAACATGTGATATATACTGTAGATGCACATCTAAAGAGGCTAGTGAGATCACAAGTAATTTATTTTCTTCATTTGTTTACCTGTCTTTCCTAAGTTTTTGACCTTTGAATTAAAAATTGTTTTTTTAAAGATGTTCAATCTCAGTTCTCCAACTGTGAATCTACAATTTAAAGACATTTGTACCTTTCATTTAAAAAGATACAAGAAAATAAGATACAGCAATTTTACAATAGATTATTACAGTTCTCTAATGATCCATTTCATTTTCTTCTAACTTTAAATGTTCCAATTTATTAATGTTGTTTATGCCAGAGTCACACAGCAAAAGGAAAACACTATAGGGAAACTGGACAGAGGGAAAGTAAGACTCCTTGGAGCACCTACTAACTGGTCTTTCATCTCTAGTGTGAATGGTTTTTATTCGAGGCTCTAATTCTCTAACCCTATATTGAATTTTACATTTTAATGTGAGACCAGAATATGGTCAAATCAGGGACTCCCCAGTTAGTGAAAAAGAGTATCAGGAACTCATGTTTATTTACTGATAAAGGATAAGGATAGAAAAACAAAGACTTGCTAACTTTCCCATGTTGACCTTCATTAGTAAAACTACTCGGCATGTTTGTTTTTCTACAACTTCTTTCCATATGACTTACCAGGTGTTGTTTTAACAGGAATGGAACTCACTGAGCAATGTGACTGACTGAGGAAGAGCCGGCTCATGCAGATGGTAGCCTCCAGTTACATCCTAGCAGGGAATATTCTTGTTGGATTTGCTGAAAAGCTCTAAAGGAAGTAAGAGACATTAGTGAGAATTTCCCTCAGATAACACACGTTTTAGTTTAAAGAAATCCTGCTCAGTTATGTTTTTCAGATATTATATATGAGCAATTTAGATCAGAAGTTGGAAACCTGGTTTTCAAGAAATTTTCAATTTTCTTTCTGACAAACTTCCCATTGTTAGAATGCAAACACATATATTTAATGGATAGGCCAATCTTCCTACTTTTTTTCTGGGTGAAGACAGTTTCAATTCTAGTTCAATGTCTGCAGGGTTGTCATACTATCATACCTCCTTTCCACAACTTAAAGTACTAACTGTATGTAAGACTTTATTTGAATTTTTATTGCTTTTCTAAGTATTACATGTACATCAGAGATAATTTTGAAAGCACCAAAAAGTCCAAGGAAGATTAAAACACCCATAATCCCACCACTCAGGAAAATCTCTCATAGTTAAGTTTAAACTCTGCTTGAATTTATTGACATTAGCATATTAAGGGTTCTGAGCAATCAAGAAGAAAGAGAACAATTTACCTTTGTTTTAAATTAAGTTTCCCAAACTACTTTGACTATGAATCCTCTGGTGGTATAACACCTATTCATAACCAGAGAAACTCAGGATCTGAGGAACACATTCTAGGAATGACACCTTAATGAATGTATCACTGTCCAGGATCTTCAGCCATATTAGTAATCTAGACTTAACCGACCTCAACAATGCTCAACCGTCTTCCTAACCTCAATTTACAGTGACAGTCACTTGAAGAAAGCAACATGCATGGGTAATTTTATAGTAAGTACATTATAGCTCAATAAAGCCTTAAAAAAAAAGAAACCAGTATGCTTATGTTTCAGGAATACTGAGAAGCAGAGTAAGTAACTTGTTGTACACAAAATCAGAACAAAAGGAGAATTCAAAGAAATACTTTATGCTGGCCAAGGTGATTCATTCTTGCAAACAAGAGGATACATCTTTAGTTACTGTCTCCCAGATTCATACTACACAGTTCTACCTCTTCTAGCTTTCTCTTTCAGTCTAGCAATGCTTATAAAGTAAGGCTCTGCTTAATTCTTGCTAAAGTACAAAAGAGTTATGTATACTACAATGGGGAAAAGAGCACCAGAAGTCAGTCCAAAACAGCCCACTGTAAGTGCAGCATTTCTTTTAATCTTCATGTTTTTCCTACCGTAAACACATGAGGAAATATTTTCCAAATGAAAAGATTCAAGTGTTTAATTCTAAATGTTTAGGGATAACTGACATATAAAGAATATATGTTATATATTTACCTGTTAGTTCATATGCCTTAAAACACACCAAACACATCTTATTTGGGAAGTAACGCTCAAAGCTAAACATCTCCCTAGTTCTATTCTTAGTATCTTTTTCTAGAAGCAAAAATCAACTACATTGATATCAGTGCTAAATTAGAGTCACACTAAGTATCCCACCTAGAGTTGACACATGAAAAGATGATATTTGCTGCCATAGATGGATTATACCAACTAACTTCTTAGTTTCTCTATGTGTTCTTTGAGGCATTTTTATCGCCCACACACACAAAAAAACAAATATAATAAAGGAGATGATATATTTTCATATGCAAACTATTTATTGAACTATTGTACTATTAAAATTTTACTCATCAAAGAGGCCACAAAAATTATAGCATTCAACAATTTTAGATAAAACTTTTCGAGGGTGAGCTGTTATTTTTTAGTCATCTTGAACAAGTTTAACAGCAAGAAGATACTTCTAGGGAGACTTGCAGTTGGTTCAGACTCAGTTTCTATTCATGTTATGTAGAGCATCCACGATGGTTTTATTGTAATCTGCAATCTGTTTGGATACGTTCTTCATAATTGGCTGGTAATCACTCTCTTGACTCTTGGTTGCTATGACTAATTACGTGAGTTAAGGGGGAACACTGTCAATAAAAATATTATTCTGATTGTGGTTCAGAAAGGAGCCAAACCATACTGGTATGTTTCTTAGTGAAAACTGGAGATGCACAGAAAAAAGCACAATTAAAAAATATTTTTAAAAACAATATATTATTCTGACAGATTAAGAATCAACTGAAACCTAAAATGTCAAGCAAAACTTGTTTCAAAGAAATTTGCCTATAGTACAAAAGCTTTTTATAGTTACTATGTTATGCACCTCAGTCTAATTCTGGTATTAGAAAATTGAATGTTCAGAAGAACCATATTCTCTAGACTATCATGCAGAATTTCAGGCAAGTCTCTAGACTTCACTGTTTCAAAATCATCTACTTTATGCTGTACAAAACTAGAGTGCTTCACTTTAGCATATTGTGAATGGGAGTCTCTGGCTTTAACTAAGTGGCATGAACACTGGAAATAGAGCCCCCAAAGTATCTCATCTGGAGAAGGTGGGGTCCATGCTGCACTGAGCTGAAGTTCAGCAGTGTCCCAGAGACCTATGCTACCAGTGAGTCAGGTGCTAGTTCTCCATGCAGAGATATCCTTGAGTGGGTTGAAGAACCCACATTTTTGGGAAATGTTTCTTACAACTCCATAAAAAAACATGTCCTCAAGCAGCTGCTTCCTCCTATGATCACACAAAAGATAAACAAGAAGATGGGATCTATGTACTGTCTTGGTACAAATGAGATGAAGGTGCACTAGATGAAACACAGATGAGCTTCAAAGCCAACTTTCTCATGACACTACTTGGTTTATCTCTCTTTCCTGCCCAGATATACTGGGACCGCATTACACACAACAAACAACTGTACACACATATATGATATATATAATTCTTCTAGTCACTCTATGGGAAGGAAGTGACTGCATTTGAAATCATAAGTTGAGGCTTAAGCAAATTAATTATCCAAAGTCAGTAACCTGTAAGTGGTAGAGTCAACACTTAAAATTAGATCTCCCAACTCCAAAGCCTGTGCACTTGGAGACTCTGCCACACCAGGACTTTGTACAGTATGCTTTCTATTAATTACTTTGGTACACACACACACACACACACACACACACACACACACTTACTATTATAGAGTAGGACTAAGTCTTATTCATTTATTCCACACATATTTTGTACAGATTAGGTATTTGATTAGTGAGTGCTGAATTTCATTTGTCTTAAAAGAAATTCCTAGAAAAAGAATCCTTAAATTCATTTGCAGCTTTTTAAAGGATACATTCTTTCATCACAAAATTATTTTGCTCATGGTGTTGCCACTTCCTCTCCAAATTTGTAAGCTAAAAACACAAAAGAAAAATGTTAACAAGTGCCCATATTCAAAAACAATTATATATACCCTTTTAGGAAGATAAGAAAAAAAATCCACTCAACTTGAAATCTTATCAACTCCCTTGCATTTTACTGAGATAAAGCCATGGTAGACAAAAAGAAATTTAGGAAAGATTAAACAATAGTAAATACATTAATACATACAGTGTTTATTTTAATTGGAAAACATTAAAAATATTTATTATACCAATGAACATGCTAAGTGAAAGACAATTTATGATTTTTCCCTCTACTAAAAGAACTTAAAGAAGAAGAACGGGACGTGATGAGAATCTCTCCTTGAAAACTGGAAGTGTAATGCCACCAATGTAATATATATTACAACACTGTCAAAGGTTCAGCTATACAGGAGAAACTTCCTTATTTCCAGGGCTAAATTTCCTGTCTAATTCCACAAGCCGTGATAAGAGGAGAGCTGCAGTGTGAAGATTATATGAGGGCTGGTAAAAAGCTGGCACTGGTACAATAATTTCTGCATCAACAGGAAGCTAATGTGGATATTATATTGATGGTTGCTTCCTCAGAAGACAATTTTACTGTTATAGAATTAAATTGTTTTTCTGATTTAATTAACCTTGTAACTCAGGTTACAGCCTTTCTTTTTTAAGATGCACATAATATTTTTCCTAAACAAAGGACCATCTGAAAAGTGAACATTAAAATAATGTTCTGCATGCACATTTATAAGAGGTAATGATCATTTTTTAAAATTTGATAATTTAAACAGCATTAATATTTCTTTCTACTCTCATGTTAAAATTATTTTTAGGGCATAAGTTCAGTCTTAATGTAGCGTCCATCCCATTGTTTCTTCAAAGAGATATAGCTAGATATTAGGATGAATCATAACTAATTAATTATATGAACTGTATGTACTGTCAGCTAAGACTACTATATCAGATCTAACTCCTCAGAAAGAACCTTGAAATTAAGATGGACTTATGGAAGCAGTCAGCGCTTTTTTTGACAATAAATCTTTAATGACCTTTTAAAAAGTCAAGTATCAAACTCTCCCCCTTTGCTTAATACAGAGAGGTGGCCTTCTTAAAAGGCAACAGACCTCTTAAGTGCTAAATGAAAGAATATTGCTGTAAGAGCAACAGTATGTCAGATGGACAAATTCTTTCTATTTCAAACATTTACATTACTGACTGGCCTTTAAACTTCTGAGGATATCATGAAGGAAATATCTGTATATTTAAAAAATTTGATATGAGTTTTTCATATATTTTGGATATTAGCCCCTTATCAGATATATGACCTGCAAATACTTTCTCTCATTCCATAAGTAGCTTTTTCATTTTGCTGTTTTTTTTTTTACTGTGCAGAAGATTTTTAGTTTGATGTAGCTCCACTTATTTATTTTTGCCTTTGTTGCTTGTGCTTTTGCTAAAAAATCATTTACAAGACTAATGTCAAGAAGCTTTTTCCCTATGTTTTCTTCTAGGAGTTTTATAATTTGTTGCAATATAAATATGTTTAAATGATTTAAAGTAAATAACAGCCACTCATTCAGAAAAGGACTGTTATGTAAAATTATTTATAGATATCAAAAAAGTTTTCAAGAAAAAGTTGCAAAAGATAGAGGCTAGGATTTGATTTGACCAACTAGGACTCACAAAATGCAACAAATAATACAGAGAATGACTGTAAGTTGTGGCTTACTTTGTGAGTTCCTGTTATCGGTATATGGGGTTAAGAATATGATTAGTGAGGATGTGCAGAAAAGGGAACCCTCCTGCACATTAGTGGGAATGTAAATTGGTGCAGCCACTGTGGAAAGCAGTATGGAAGTTCCTCAAAAAACCAAAATTAGAAATACCATATGACCCAGTAATTCCACTTCTAGGAATTTACCTGAAGAAAACAAATCCCTGATTTGAAAAGCTATATACATCCCTATGTTCATTAGCGCATTATTTACAATAGCTAAGATAAGGAAGCAACCAAAGTCCATCAATAAATGGATAAAGAGGATATGGTATGTATACACAAAAGAAGATTATTTAGCCATAAAAAAACATCCTGCCATTTGCAACAATATGGATGGACCTAAAGGATATTTTGCAAAGTGAAATAAGCTAGGTGGAGAAAGACAAATACCATGATTTCACTTATTTGTGGAATATAAAAGCAAAACAAAACAAAATGAACAAAATAGCTGTAGACTCATAGACACTGAGAAGTGACTAGTAGTTATCATGGGGGAAGGGTCAGGATAGGTGCATGAGGAGGATGAGGGGGATAAAGGGGCACAAAAATCTCAATCATGATGTAAGTTGGTCACAGGGATGGTAGTACAGCATGGATAATAGTCAATGATTCTGTGACATTTTTCTATGTTGACAGAGAACAGCACTAGTGAGAGTGGGGTGATGATTTAATAATATGGGTAACTGTTGAACCACTGTGTTGTATACTTGAAACCAATGTAAGATTGCATATCAAATATACTTCAATAAAAATATAGAATATGATTAGCACTTAATGTGAAAATAAACATTGTAGCCAATTTACTAGCTCTAAGAAATTGTGTTTGCCAAATGTTTTCCTCCTTAAGTCATCTGTTTAGTGGAAGAGGAGGGCAGATATTCTGTAAGAAATATCAGTACTTATGCTTAAGAATCATTTAAGACAATGATATTAAAAACTTTTTCTTAGGTTCCTTCTCCAGCACTCATCCACACTCTAAACAGCTTGGGATAGTTCTTTCACTTACAAGTCTATATATAGACTTTATATTATGAAGTTGAGACAGAATGTCTGATAAATTTGAACTATGTAAGTTAGTGAACTCTAAGCTTTAAGTTGTAGAAAACTCTAGTGAGACTATACCCCTTCCAAGAAAAATATAAAGTATACCTTTTAAAAAAGTGGTATATCTAAGTGGTACATGAAATATCTGATGTCATAAAAATGCCATCAAAGAAGAGCTTGAAAATTTAAGAAAATAAATGCTTAAAGACTATGCATAGGAAGTCCTAGACATGGCAATTAGACAAGATAAAGAGATAGAAGGCATCCAAATTGGTAAGGAAGAAGTAAAACTGTCACTATTTGCCAATGATATGATACTACACATAGAAAACCCTAGACTCCACCAAAAATCTATTAGAACTAATAACTAGATTGAGAAAAGTTGCAGGATACAAAATTAATACACAGAAATCTGTATATTAATTCACTTATTTGTAGTATCTAAAAACAAAACAAAATGTACAAAATAGCAGTAGACTCATAGACTCTGAAAAAGTGACAAGTGGTTACCATGGGGGAGGGATTGGGGTAGGTGGTTGGGAAGGGTGAGGGGGACAAAGGGGCATAGAAATTCTCAATCATAATATAAGTTGGTCATGGGAATGGAACTGTAACATGGAGAATATAGTCAGTGGTTTGGTAACATTTTCCTATGTTGACAGACAGTAACTACACTAGTGAAGATGAAGATTTAATAATGTGAGCAACTGTTGAATCACAGCATTGTATACTTCAAACCATTGTAATACTGTGTATCAACTATACTTCAATTTCAAAAGAGGGAAAAAAAGATTATATGTACAGAATGATTTCCTTTTTGTAAAAACAATAAATTAGTAATGGATGTATAGCTGCAAAGGGAAAAAAATTTACAAGAATATTATACCAAAATGTTAAAGATGGTTATCTATCATAATACTATAATGTAAAGAAAAGGAAGAAAATATTTTAATGCATTTAGAATAAATCATAGTTGCTACATAGGCTATGAGATATGAGAATGACCAATCAGACCATAATTACTGATTGTGTGTAACACATAATGCTTCATTTAATCTTCCAACAAATATTTACTGACCACCTATTATGTGCCAGCCACTAGACAGTGCTGGGGAGAAAATAAATGAAGCATATATCATCTCTGTCATCTCAGATAGAGCTCTCAATATAGAATACCTCAGACCATGTTTGAATAATTACCAGTAGGATGAGAGATATGAAAAAGGGCCTTGTTTGTACATCTTATGTAACTAATCAGAGATGTAAATCAAGAAGTTCAAGGATAGGACTTCTCTTGATAGCATTTGAACAGTTATTTGAACAGTTTTAAAACTAAAAATAACCTAAATGTCAAACAATTTGGATTGGTTCAGTGAATTATACTATATTCATATAGTCAAATATTACATAGAATCATATTTTTAAAATATCTACTAACAAGGGAAGTACATATGTACAGTTAATGAAAAATAATATGTAGCATATGATATCATTTTTATAAATATATAGAAATGTGTACATGTGCATATGTACAAAGTGTGTGTACACATAACATACACATAAGGACTAAAAGGACCCACACAAAAATGACAATTACTCTCCTGGGTGGTAGGATACTAGGTATATTATGGTTGATTTTCTTAAATGGTAGTTTTATGTGTTAGCAAAGTTTCTGCATTAAAAATTACTTGCTTTGAGGAGAGGCCAAGATAGCATTGTGAGTAGGACAATGGAAATCACCTCCCCAAAACATATATATTTTTGAAAATACAATAAATACAACTATTCCTAAAAGAGAGACCAGAAGATACAGTACAACAGCCAGGCTACATCTACACCTGCGAGAATCCAGCGTCTCGTGAAGGGGGTAAGATACAAATTGTGGCCCGGTGGGACCTGAGCAGGCTCCTCACCCCAACTCCTAGCAGGAGGAGAGGAGTTGGAGCGGGGAGGGAGCAGGAGCCCAGGACTGCTAAATACCCAGCCCCAGCCTTCCACACCAGAGCACAGACACAGTGAGTGCATGGGGTGCTGGATACTAGGGAAATGGGACAGTAAAACCTGCAAGCGGGACCCCACAGCCGGTGTCCTGGGACAAAAGAAGAGCAAGTGATTTCTGAAAGTTTTAAAGGGACAGGGGCCTCACAGTTGGACAGAAGCATCCCGGCGCAATCAGCCCAGCAGCTGGGAA